TCAGCTGCCTAAGTTCAGTTCCAATACTCAAGACCGCAAGTACGGAGGATGCGTGAAACTTCCCGGATGTGATCTTGATATCAAGGATGCACTGATGCAGACTTGAGCACCGAACTCGCTCTGGAAGTCCCAGAAGTCATTGCGACTGGAGGTGGGAAGCGCATAATTTTATCTAGATTTATTATTAAAGTTCAGCGATATCACTTATTTGCCTTAGGAGTTTTTCTGAATTAAACGGTGAAAGTAAACATCACCATGAACATATTAATAAAGGAATAAACACATTAAGGGTGTTTGTTTGCTGAAATTCGTATTAAAATCTGTTTTATTTATATTGTGCAACATATATTGATAACGTTTTTATGCAAAGTATATATTTTGAGAAGGGAAAAAACAATAAATCGTTGTATGAAGGCTGTAATGTTTAAATAATTTACCATTTAAAACACGTGAAGGTCATGTGACCATCAGGAAGAATGCAGCATCGCAATTCTCAAAGGACGCGTTCTCTGCCCTCGCGGTCTCCTGAGTTCGTTCTTCCGAGGACACCTGGCAAGACCGATCTCCACAAGAACGCAAGTCTGTTCTCTGCGTTCTTGGAATTGAGAAACAGCCTCATCCTTCCATGGTGGGCGCCACGCCAAAATTCATCCCACCACGGCTACATCACAGGTTTTCATCATTTTCATAGAGTCGTGTTTTTTTTAAAGCGGGTAATAATCGCACCAAAACGTATTAAAAGATAAGTGAATTATAACAGCGTGAACTTTTCTGTAACTGTAGTAGTGCTGCGTTATTTGTTTGAACCTTAAGGTTACGTGCTGACTGGCTGACTGATCAGCCTGATCTCACGAGGAAACGTAAGTATTTTACGTTTTGTTAGTTTAGTGGCTAATTCGTACGAGTTCAGCCCTACAAAAATTTACGGTTTTAAAAAGGAGACGAGGCACCTAACCCCACCCCTAACCCCAACCATCATTAAGTGATGGGCAAATCGTACTAAATTGTACGAATAAGATCGTACAAATTCATACAAATTAGCCACTAAATGAAAACGTTACGAATTGCCGTGAGATTGCATTGGACTGACTGACTGGCTGACTGACAGGTGCGTGATGCATGAGGCCAGCAAACACGACATATAGCCATTTCACTTTACTTCAGGACGCATTTATACCGCTCTGTAGGTCTATTGGAGACATTCATGATTATTCCTATAGCAAATCTAATAAATGTTGGAGACATACTTGTTACATAAACTCACTAAATCGCACTTCAGCAGTGTTTATTTGAAAGCGCACAAGATCTGCACTTGAGCAGCGTATATTTGAGGGTGTGTTTTGTGCACGAGCAGAGGAAATCTGCAAGCAAGCAAAGAGATTTGCATGCTGTAGGCTATTACATAAATGCGATCTCGACATTTGTCATTGAAATAATGCCACAGGTAGTTGGTAGAAAAGACCTCCCACCACAGCTGGAAAAAATCCTTGAGGAAACACTGCAAAGTATTAATAATTATTAATATGCCTATTATTAAATAATATTTTCATAGTTATTTAAACTACCCCTTCAATATGTACAACAAGAAACAAAAAGAAGGAGCTTAGACTGCATATGCTCTGTAGAAGAATATCTGAGTGCATCAATTACATCAGGTTTCCACTTTTATGTTTTGCCTGAGTGTTAAATCGGCCCTCCTATGAATTGTCAGTTCTTCATATGGTCCCCCGCCAATTTGAGTTTGAGACCCCTGTTCTAGAGGCTTTGGGACTATTCAGTCACCAATATTGGTGCTTATAGATCAGGGGTGTCAAACTCAATTCCTGGAGGGCCGCAGCCCTGCACAGTTTAGTTCCAACCCTGCTCCAACACACTTACCTGTAGGTTTCAAACAAGCCTGAAGGACTCAATTAGTTTGATCAGGTGTGTTTAATTAGGGTTGGAACTAAACTGTGCAGAGCTGCGGCCCTTTTGGAACTGAGTTTGACACCTGTGTTATAGATGATATGATGTTCCCATTTTTTTCTTCTTTTTTCCTTACTTTCATCTATCTATTGATTTATATACTTATTTCTTTATTTTTTAAGGATACTATAATTTCTTTATTATTTATTTGCCCTAAAAAATTCTTGCATTTAATAATTTGGCAAATATGCTTTTATACGCTACAATTGTTTATGATTTGATTTTTTAGTATATTTGGCAACCCAGGCTCATTCTGAAAACGTAGTCCAGCGGACGTTTCTGGAGAACGCGAAATACGTCCCGGGAGGTACGTATTTGTGCAGTTTTTGTTTTCGCGAATCCGCGAGAGGCTGCTGTGTGCGCTTTTTCGTATCTGGAACGTCTCTTGCGAGTGCCGTTCGCGCCTGGCTGTTCTCGCATCAACCCACCAGAGGCCGCTGTCTGACTGACCGAATGATTGACTGCGTGCAGGGCCGGAGCAAGCTGAACTGCCGCTCTAGGCAAAGGACGATCACGCCACCCTCAAACCGAAAGTGAAAATGAAAATGACCGGTTATCAAAGTGAAGAACCCTATTCTGCCGCCCTAGGCACGGGTATAACTGTGGTCGCGGGTGGTGCGGGAGATGTTCGGATGTCGCCCTCTCTATTCTGCCGCCCTATGGCGCGGGTATAACTGCGGACGCAGGTGGTGCGCGAAGTGTTCGGATGCCGACCTCTCTGCCGCCCTAGGCGCGGGTATAACTGCGGAAGCGGGTAGTGCGGGAGGTGTTCGGATGCCACCCTCTCTATTCTGCCGCCCTAGGCGCAGATATAACTGCGGAGTGCGGACGCAGGTGGTGAGCGAGGTGTTCGGATGCCGCCCTCTCTACTGCCCTAGGCGCGGGTATAACTGCAGTCGCCGGTGGTGCGGGAGGTGTTCGGATGCCGCCCTCTCTATTCTGCCGCCCTAGGCGGCCGCCTAGGTCGCCTCTATGGACGCGCCGGCCCTGACTGCGTGACCGGCCAATCGGCTGACCCACCCTCCTCCTTCCCTGAACCCAACCAGTTTTACCTGATTTCCTTAAACCCGAGCAACAATTTAAAAAAGCCGTCAAGAAAAAGAAAAGCCCTATATTTTTTTTTTTTACCACATTTTCGGATTTCACCACGTTCTCACCCTTTTATGAACTCGTTCGCTTTATTTTTTGGATTCTGTTTTTGTCTTACCTGGTTTCTGGAACCACTCTTGAACCCGGACACCTTTGTCAACTCCTCCTCTCTGCATCTGAAGTCCGCCGACGCACACGATGAGCTGACTGAACAAACTGATTGCGGCGGGAAAGCCTTCTACACTGAGGTAAGCGGTCAGCCGGCAAGCGCAAAAGGGAATGGCGTCACACCGCCCCGTAGCGTTCGCTTAAAAAAATGAAATGCAGCCATATGTACCTCCCGGGACGTATTTCGCGGTCTCCAGAAATGTCCGCTGGACTACGTTTTCAGAATGAGCCTGGGTTGATATTTGGACTATAACCCATTGTTCATTTGTTGTATAACTTGCCTCTGATTTTGATAACTTTAAATAAACATGTTACAAATGAACAGCACATTTTTAAATTTACCAGTAAAGTAATTCTGTTAATTTTATGGCAATTTAATGGTGTTACTGTGTGAAATGGCTATAAAATATAGTTGCCAGTAATTTACATATTAGAAAAATACCCATGGGGTCTCATAAAGCAGCTAATTTTATTTATCCTTTTGATATTTGGTGCCAGTTTATCAGGTAGTGATGATTTAATTCTCTTTGATTCATTGGATGGAAACAGTGCTATTCACAAATGTTTAATGCTACAGTATTTTTCCGTTTTTCACATAAGCCCACATACAATATATATATATATATATATATATATATATATATATATATATATATATATATATATATATATATATATATATATATAAGGGGTGTCTCAATTTCGATTTTTAACGCCCCCATGTCACGTCAGCTTGACTTGCCAAGCGGGAAAAAAACAGGCTTGTTGAAGTGCTTGTTAAACTGCAGAAGCAGGAGACCCGTCGACAGAACTTAAACCCTCTCCTCTTTCAATGAAGTCGCCGGTGTGTAAGCATTTTGGATTTCCAGTGAGTTATGTTGACAACGTTCGTGTTGTCGACAAAAAAAACACAGTTTTGCAAGCTCTGCTATGTACGTATTACGTACGGTTCGTCCGATAGACAACACCGGCATCGCGATCCTCCGCCCACCCCCATTGCAAATCTGCTCGCGAAAAGTACACACTTAAGCCCTGTTTACACTGTCTTTGTTTTTTAAATGGCATTTTAGAACAACAACGATTTGACATCCACAGTGGCGTGTAGCATTTCTGAGCAGCACCTCCTTCCTCTCTACCTCTGAAAATGCACATCATGTGACCACACAGACACAGACGCACATACAGCCTTGGGCTCGAGACAGCAGGTCCAGGCAGTCAGAGGACTGCTTCAATCTTTCACTCACTTGTACTTAGTCATTTTAGCGCACACCTCAGATACTGTTGGCTGGTTCCTGTTGGTTGTGCCTCTTTTTTACCGACGCCATTATAACGACACAGATCACTGCCTATTCATGAGTCCCGCAGAAAAAGTGATTGACAGGTGGTAATTATGTGTGTATCTTGCCTTTATTCATTTACTGTATGATTTGTTTATGGGTAAAACAAAGACCATGCAGGTCAGGTAGTTTAAACGGTAGGCAACAAATAATTAATTGGTCATTAATTAATTAATTATTCATAATCGAAAATCGAATCGAATCGTGCCTTTAGAATCGAAAATGTAATCGAATCAAGGATTTGGAGGATCGTGACACCTTTAATATATATATATATATATATATATATATATATATATATATATAATGTGAGCTTATGTGAAAATATGTGTGTGTGTGTGTGTGTGTGTGTATATTCTAAACATTCTTTAAATTATCTTGTTTGTGTTTGAAAAAAAAATCATCAAAGTCTGAGAAAACAGTAAGGAAAGTTCCACCAACCTGGAGTTGAGCAGCGCCAGCAGCTCTCCTGCATGGTACAGGTCGTTGCGCGTGATCCTGCTGAAGCGAATGGAGTTCAGATTGCAAATGGTCACAGCCGGAAACACCATCACCGGCGTGGTGATCTCATCCAGCTTGGTGACATGAGGATATTCCAGGTAGAACTGAATGCGATCAATGCAGACGTACATGAGAAAAGTCAAAGAGCTGAGGAAAAACACCACCCAGAGGCAGCATTTAGCCGTGATCTTCTCATAGGAGAAGATGTGAGAGATGCCGTGTAGAGTTGAGGTGTGAGCGAACACTTGGAGAGGCGGAGGCTGGTCGAAATCAATGTCCATTGGTTCCACTTTAAGATCCATCACTGATGTCTTCATTGACTTGTTCCTCCACTGGGAAAGCTGGGAGAGATGGTAAACAAAGAGAGAGAGAGAGAGAGAGAGAGTTATATTTTTATAAATGAGTCATCATTCAGCAAAGACGACGTCATTTTGGGATGCAAGTCTACTGAGCTGGGATTATAGCTGAAAGGCTGTGTGTTCAAATCCCATGAGGGTCGAGGCACTAAATGTCACTGTGTTTAACGTGATTTAGAGCAGATTGCCAGTAAAATGTCATCTATTGTTACAGTATTTATACTAGGGCTGCACAATATATCGCTTCAACATCGATCGTCTCAGAATGTCGAGCATTTTCAAGTGAATTTAAACCATTTTGACACAAGAAATCATAATGTTTGCCACTTTAACAAAGATTATTCATTCATTCATTTTCTTTTCGGCTTAGTCCTTTTATTAATCTGGGGTCACCACAGCGGAATGAACCATCAATTTATCCAGCATATGTTTTACCCACTGCGCTGCCTATCCCAGATTATTTATTAAAGTATTTATTTATACAATAAAGATTATAGAGCAGGGGTGTCCAAACTCTGTCCTTGAGGGCTGGTGTCCTGCAAAGTTTAGTAGAACCCCATTCAGACACACCTAGGCTAGCTAATCAAGCAAGTTGTGTTGAAGCAAGTTGGAGCTAAAATCTGCAGGACACCTTCCCTCCAGGACCCAGTTTGGACACCCCTGCTATACACCATTCATTTATTCATTCATTCATTTTCCTTCCGCTTAGTCCCTTATTTACCAGGGGTCACCACAGCGGAATGAACCGCCAACTATTACAGTATGTTTTACGCAGCGGATGCCCTTCTAGCTGCAACCCAGTACTGGGAAACACCCATACACACTCATTTTCTCACACACACACATACATACACACTACGGTCAATTTATTTTATTCAATTTATCTATAGCGCATGTGTTTGGACTGTGGGGGAAACCGGAGCACCCGGAGGGAACCCACGTCAACATGGGGAGAACATGCAAACTCCACACAGAAATGCCAACTGACCAATTCGGGACTAGAACCAGCGACCTTCTTGCTGTGAGGCGACAATGGTAACCACTGGGCCACCATGTCACCAAAATATCATAAACAAATTAAGAATAATAATAGTAAATATTAACACAGAGTGCAAGGTAACAAGAACTAGAAAATAGTACATTTTTACTCAAAAACAAAAGTCATTTTAGAATAAATCGAAACCAAACTCCTATCTGAATGAATGCTGGAATCCTAAAATCTCGAAAAATCCCCCCTGAATTCACAATTAAATGACATATTTCAAATAAGCAACAAAATCTCAAGTGACTTAAGTTATTGTTACATTTAAAACATGCCATTTGCAGTTTTTAGTTCAAGTTTACAATTTTTATGTAATTTTATACGTCATTTCATCCTGATTGAACAGTAACCACAATGATTCTTGATCAGAAATCATATCAAATCACATTTCTTTAGAGAGTAAAATGTAAAAACAAGACAATTTTCTAAAGTTCAGCTAAATGTTGGAAAATGAAAGCAATGCAACTACCATAAAAGTGACAATTCATCAATGCAACACTCAATATAACAGGAAGTCTCTGCACCCAAACTCCTACAGAGAGCATGTATAGGGCAATTTTCTGCCCACGCAAGTTCCCAAGACCATTTAATTATAGTTTACCAACCTGCTGACAGGAAAAAAAAACTAAATCTACTACATATTTCACCACAAAATCTAATGTTTGCTTTAAGGAAATTTGAATTATTATTATTGTTGTGATTATATATATATATATATATATATATATATATATATATATATATATATATATATATATAATCACAACAATATAATCACAACAATATATTGTGACCGATATATATATATATATATATATATATATATATATATATATATATATATATATATATATATATATTTTTTTTTTTTTTTTTTCTTTTTTCTTTTATTATGACAGTTTATGCATGACAAACACTGGAACCTCTATTTTCATTAACACACATACTAAAATATAAATAAATATTTCGCCATTCTAGATATGCATTACAATCTAATAAGAAGAAATCTAAAGCTCAAATCGAGTAATTTTGCCATCCAAATGTTTGTGCTCCACAGAGAAATGTTATTCTCGTATGAATCTTAATTCAGGCTGAAATGTAATGGTGTCACGTTTTCGAGAAATTCACCTTGTCATCAAAACACAGTCTGAGGTGAAACGCGCCAAATCACGACCCGCTTTTATGGCTCGTTCCATTGTATCAGTCATCCGAATTTTAGAGGAACATCAAAGCCAGCGACAGTGATTGGAACGGCAGCGTCACTTGTAGAGCACGAGCGCTTACCTGGAGCACTTCAGAAAGATGCTGGACAGGAAAACAGACGACAGTTATCCGAACATTTGCAGAGAGCCGCTGTCCATCCGACACACTGACGGAAAGCCATGTTATCTTTGAGGAGATGATGGTTCTCGAGCGCTGGATCCTCCCGTGTGATGATTCTGAAGCTCTAATGGCTGAAGCAGAGGATCGTGAGTATGTGTGTGCGAGAAAGAGGAGAGAGAGAGAGAGAGTGGGAGGGAGTTTGTGGGCGTGAACCCCCAGAATTATTAGAGTCCGTAGTAGTATAAGAAAACGTTGTATTGTTGTGTTTTTGGACATGCACAATAGGGATTTTTTTAAAAGCTTTTTAATGCTTTAATGCTTGATGGCAATCATAGTTTTATATAATATTATCCAATAAATATCCATTTTTAACAGTATCTATTTTTACAGGCCTGTATCCAGATATTAAAAGGGGTGGTTTATTTATTCTCCAAAACTGAACCTTTTTGCAGTTCAGTTAGCTTAGTGTCTTTATTAATCTAGGGTCGCCACAGCGGAATGAACCTCCAACTTATCCAGCATATGCCAGCGGATGCCATTCCAGCTGCAACCATCACTGGGAAACATCCACACACACACTCATTCAAACACATACACTACAGACAATTTAGCCTACCAAATTCGCCTATATGTTTTTTTGGACTTGTGGGGGAAACCCGAGCACCATGAGAAAACCCGCACGAATACTGGGAGAACATGCAAACTCCACATAGAAATGCAAAAGACCCAGCCTGGGCTCAAACCAGCCCCCGTGCATCTCCCTTTTTGCAGTTATTTGCTTAATTTTTTAGTAAATTACGAGGTTCAGATACTGCATTTTAGTGACATTTTAAGCACTAATCTTCTCAGATGGTGATCGTAACCACACTTTTTGATGCAATAAAAATATTTTCTACAATTTGTCAAAGTGCTTACTTACCATATTATTTTACCTTGAAGTGTTTATTTACAAATCTGCATTTAAACTGTAAGTTATCACAGATTTATAAACATTTTTATAGATTCATTTTCTTTTCGGCTTAGTCCCTTTAGTCAGAATTATTAGCCACTCTTTGATTTTTTTTCTTTCTTTTTTAAATATTTCCCAAATGATTTTTAACAGACCAAGGAAATTTTCACACTATGTCTGATAATATTTTTTCTTCTGGAAAAAGTGTTATTTGTTTTATTTCGGCTAGAATAAAAGCAGTTTTTAATTCTTTTAAACACCATTTTAAGGTCATTACCCCTTTAAGCTATATTTTTTCGATAGTCTACAGAACAAACCATCATTATACAATAACTCGCCTAATTACCCTAACCTGCCTAGTTAACCAAATTAACCTAGTTAAGCCTTTAAATGTCACTTTAATCTGTATAGAAGTGTCTTGAATAATATCCAGTCAAATATTATTTACTGTCATCATGGCAAAGATAAAACAAATCAGTTTTTAGAAATTAGTTATTAAAACTATTATGTTAAGAAATGTTTTAAACAAAATCTTTTCGTTAAACAGAAATTTGAGAAAAAAACTGGGGCTAATAATTCTAACTTTAACTGTTTTGCGCAGCGGATGCCCTTCCAGCCACAACCCATCACTGGGAAACATCCGTACACACTCATTCACACACACTCATACACTATATGGCTAATTTAGCTAATCCAATTCTCCTTATGTCTTTAGACTGTGGGAGAAACCTGAGCACCTGGAAGAAACCCACGCCAACAAAGGGAGAACATGTTAACTCCACACAGAAATGCCAACTGACCCTATTTTCTTGCTGTGAGGTGACAGTGCTAACCACTAAGCCACCAAGCTGTTCAGCAACCGTAAAACACTTTTTAAATCTTACGATAAACTACCGTATTTCATTCATTTATAGTCATATACACCAGTGCTTTGAAGTAACATCAGAACTTTGTAACAAAAGCACAACCATAAACATGAATTGATAAGTCATAAAATGAACATACTAATATGTATAAGCTAATATATATTAATGCTGATATATATAAGCTGGGGCGTCACGGTGGCGCAGTGGGTAGCATAATCACCTCACAGCAAGAAGGTTGCTGGTTTGAGCTCCGGCTGGGTAAGTAGGCATTTCATTTTCTTTCGGCTTAGTCCCTTTATTCATCAGGTGTTGCCATAGTGGAATGAACCACTAACTTATCCAGCATATGTTTTACTTAGTGGATGCTCTTCTAGCTGCAACCCAGTACTGGGAAACACCTATACATACTAATTTACACACACACTTATACTCTACGGCCAATTTAGTTTGTTCGATTCACCTATAGTGCATGTGTTTGGACTGTGGGGGAAACCTGAGCAAACCCACGCCAACACAGGGGATAACATGCAAACTCCTCACAGAAACGCCAACTGGCCCAGCCAGGACTCGAACCAGCGACCTTCTTGCTGTGAAGCAACAGTACCAACCACTGAGCCACTGTGTCACCCTTTTTACCATCAAAATTAGTAATTTTTTTACAGTGTATATACTGAAAACCCTAATAAGTTGACTGAACTAAATTAACTGAGTAATCTCGTTGCCCCAATTTAATTGAGTAATGGAGTTTCCCAAAACTTGCATATTTATGTTTATTTAACTTGCCTGTTTTGTAGACTATGTAGACTATAAAGTGTTCAGTTCACCAAACTTAGTACTCAATTAATTATATACAAATAAAAAAAGCTGGTCACTGATTCGGAGTAAAAAGACATTGAGTGTGTTGAAATATGTTGATCTATTTGCAGATAATTAAGGAATGAAACTTCATAATGATAGTATCTAAAACGTCAAATCTTATTGAGACAGCATACCAATACGTTATCCAAACATTCAGTTATCTGGACAATAAGGAAGTCCTTAGGCTGAGCTTAAAACACAAGGATTCCCAACTAGGACTTCACAATACAAACAGTTTGAAGTAGCTGCAGGGATCCATGTGTTCCCTTCCCTCTATCACGACTGAATCTCTTTATTCACCCACTCACCTATTATACATTCCAGGTGTCTGACTAGCGCCCTCTAGTGCACTGTAGTTCAATTTGAACAGCATTTTTATTTCCATTATTCCATGGATAACAATATGTATACATATATATATATATATATATATATATATATATATATATATATATATATATATATATATATATATATATATATATATATATATATATATATATATATATATATATATATGTATGTATGTATGTATTTATGTATGTATGTATGTATGTATGTATGTATGTATGTATGTATGTATGTATGTATGTATGTATGTATATATATATATGTGTGTGTGTGTGTGTGTGTGTGTGTGTGTGTGTGTGTGTGTGTGTGTGTGTGTGTGTGTGTGTGTGTGTGTAATAATATACTATGAACAAATGTTTACATAAATTTTAAATAAAGAATAAGGAGCCATTTATTCACATTATGATGAATAATTATATCTGAACCTATTTGTTTTATAATTTAAAAAAAAGACCTTGCACTTAAAAGGTTGCACATATTACAATTTTACAGTCAACATTCGTGAAAATGACTTATTTTTTCAAAGGATTAATAAAGATTTTGAGCTCACTACACTTGAAATTTTAAGTTTATGCATTTTCATGGTACATAAATTAACTCATATTTTTAAGTGATGGGACTAAAATGCTAAATTTTAAGTTATGTTTAGTCAACTTCACTTAATTTTTTAAGTTAAGAAAATATATGGGGTTCACAGTCTCAGTTCGTTTGGGTCTCCATAAACATGTAGTTATTGAAGGTCTGGCCATAACATGACAGGGCCATGTTAAGTGCATGTGCATTACATAAGATCAAATATGAATGACATGTTTTTTGAAGTGCATCAGCAAATAAATGGCTGACTCTGACAGTCTTGCATATGTAGCTCTGCATATGTGATCACAGACACACTCGCAATCTGTCAGAAATCATTACATCAAGGGAGGAAACGACAATCTGTTTTCTGACATTGCATGAAACAGAAGTACTGTGTGGTGCGATAGTGATTGTAATATGCTTTGTGTACAGAACTCAACCCCTAATCTAATTGCGACTACGTGCTCTTCCTGTAAAAGAATTGTTTGCTCTCTGCATGGCACAGATGCATTGTATAGTTCTGCTGCCTCAGCTTAAAATTACACGCATGCTTTTTCATTCCCTATTTATTTTTGGTCTGCATGTTGCTTGGGCCAGATGTTAGTAGGGCTGCTTTAGGCAAAAATGTATTCATTTTAATACACTCTAAAAATATTGTTTTGACCAAACAAACATAAAAAATTAACACAACAGTTTGCATCAATATATTCAAGTTACGGCAACATCTAAAAAATTGAAGTTCAGACAGCATCTTTATTATGTTAGCCAAATGAGCATTTCCTCTTTAAGCAGAGACATTTTTACATAGCATACACTCCCTTTTTTAAGTTTAGTACTCTAAAAGTTAGGTTTTTTTCAACTAGTTTTTTTTTATAAAATGTAAAATAAATACAGTGTTATGTACTTAATTACCATAATTTTACATGCAAGATTTTAAGTTTAGAACCTCAAATAAATTTAATAGCTGAAAAGTTTGATTTTTTTTGGATGTTTTTAAATTTGCTGTTCTTTTACTTGCTTGTGAAAAATTCACTCAACAACAACATTATTGCTTTCCAGTAATATTATATTTATGTTAAAAAAGTTTTTCAGTATTTTACAAAACAAAAATGTGTACAGTCTCATATAAACAATTTGGAAAATGACAAAAAAATAAATAAAATCATCAGTGCGTGGACTCAAAAATACCACACAACATAACGTGCAACATAAAGAGCAAAATCTACTCTGAAATAAGAAGAGACTTCATGAAATAACGTTCTTGAGATGCATTACTTTTGCACTGGGCTATAGTCCATCTTGTTCGAGAAACTTTTACAAGTAAATTTAAGTTCCTTGAGATTTAAAGCATATATTATGCCCATCAGTAGAGCACAGCACCTTAAGATATCCATTGCATTTAGGATTCGGATGCCCTCAACCATGATTATTTCCGTCTTGTGGTTCCAAAGTAGACTGATCACCAATGATGACAATTGTCATCACTTTGCCAAAACACTGCTAACATCAACGGTATTTACCAGAAGTAGCCAACACTCTAGTGGAAGGGGGAAAATTAATTAGGAAATTAAATAAAACTCCTTAAAATGTCCCTTGTGCCAAACAGTCTGCCTATAACTTGTCCGGACTTGCCACTTGCTTGTTCAGTGGGGGAGGAGCTTTGAAATCCAGAACTCCATGTGGAGTTATTAACTCAATTTCTTTGGGTTCCTACAAGTTAAATATTGTTTCAAACTAACTGACAGACATATTTATCTTTCAATTATTAGCATTTTTTAGTTTGTTGTAATTATTAATATATTCCTGCTGTGAAAATTTAGATTTTTTAAAGCAATTTAGATTTTTAGGTTACAACAGTTTATATGTCTATGCATTCACACAGCGCAGCATTCCGGCAAATTACCGATAATCTTGCAACTTATTTTTCCGGAAAATAGCCAGAACGAATTTACCGGTATTTTCAAAAAGGGCCTGTTCACACATACACACCTTTCCGGAAAATTGCTGGTAATTTTCCGGAAAGGTCTGTATGTGTGAAAGGGGCTATAAAGTAACAAAAACAACTAGTTGCTTTTTAGGGGAGTAACTCAATATTGCAATGCATTACTTTTAAAAGTAACTTTCCCCAACACTGCTTGCCTAATTAACCTAGTTAAGCCTTTAAATGTCACTTTAAGCTAAATAGTATTTTGAAAAGTCATCAATGTCATCATGGCAAAGATAAAATTAACCAGTTATTAAAAATGAGTTATTAAAACTAATATGTTTTAGAAATGTGTTTAAAAGATATGTGTATGATGTATATTACATATATAATTATTTAGCTATAAAAATGATTGCATGATTGTTGACTAAATAAAAAATTCAGGCATAAAAAAAATAAAAACAAATATGAGCCTATTTGTTTTCTGTAGTTCATTCTCCTGGGCTCGCTGTGCCTGACTGTGAATGAATAATAAGTGTGCTTGTTTGTAATTTTCACAGTTTTTCATCTTTATGCAGCACTGGGACACATTAAGTTGATCAAAAGTGACATTTATAATGTTACAAAACATTTCGGTTACAAATTAAACTAGATTTTGAAGCTTTTCATTAATCAAAGAATTAAAAATTTAATAATAGCAGTAAATAAACACTTATTTTAGAATAATTTCTGAAGGGTATTGTTTTTATTTACACCTATTTAACTATGGTATATGTTTTACGCAGTGGATGCCCTTTCAGCCTCAACCCAGTACTGGGCAACATCCATACACACTCATTCACACACACATACACACAGCAGCCAATTTAGTTCATCCAATTCACCTATAGTGCATGTGTTTGGACTGTGGGGGAAACTGGAGCACCCGGAGGAAACCCACGCCAACACAGTGAAAACATGCAAACTCCACACAAAAATTTCAACTGGCTCAGCTGGGACTCGAACCAGTGGCCTTCTTGCTGTGAGGAGACAGTGCTAACCACTGAGCTACCATACTGCCAACGTTTTTAGTTTTCTCTGGATTTGCTGAATTGATTAGCTGTGGATTTGAGTAAATTTTTAATATTTGTATTACTCTGTAAGGGTGTGATGACATTCCTTCCACATTTTAAATAAAAATACTGTCATTTTTAAAGCGATTTTTTTTCTTGATCAGAATAACAAATGTTTCTGCTGTGACAAAAAATCTGGGTCATTCCATCAAATATTGCTTGTGGAACTCAATGCATTTTCTTTAATGAAGTATACGATGACAGAGACCTGCGGTATGACACGGTATGACATTCGACACAGTAGCTCAGTGGTTAGCGCTGTAGGTGAATTCAAATCAAATCAAATCAGGCCTTTATTTGTCACATACACTTTCGCATAGTGAAATTGAACCCCCCCCCCCCGGACCGTACACAAACATCACAATTTCCAGGGGAAGACAGGTCACAGGAGGTAGCATTTAGAAAGGCAGGTAAGATCAGGAGTGTAAGGGAAAAAAACATCCTCTAACCTTGCTCTTGATTAGAGCAAAGTGAGACAGGGAGGAAAAAACAGCCCAATTCAGCACAAGAAAGCACACAGACAAGACACAACATTAACTAATGGGATGGGAACAGGGGATATGGATGTTGTCCGATGAGGGCTGGCAGCCGCCTGGTCCTGCAGCCATGGAGGCGCCGGTCGTAGACCGCCTACCCCCTCCAGTGGTAGAAAGCACACAAAGGCGTTTGAATGAGGGGATCTGGGGTGATTGTTTATCTGTGGTTGTGAATGTGTTTGTGCGTAAGCCTGTAGAATCCAACAGGTGTCCTTGACAGGGAGCAGGAATTTCAGAGCGTCTCCGTATCTTGCTATCCAGGAGATAAGCCTAGTTGTTTTTTTTCCAGCCGAGGCCGTCTGGCAGGAGAAAAGAAAACAGGGAGCTGAAAGATAGGAAAATACTTCAACTTTGGGTCAAAATCTGCCAATTTCACAGATATTTAATGTCCATCACTCGTCTCCAGATCTGGCCAAATCTTGTTGCAGAGCCGCTAATTTTACTCAGATGTTTTCCAGTTTGCGGTGTAGGGCTATAGTCTGAGCAATTGCGATTCTACCCATATGCGTTTCAATCAAGCTGGTCAGCCTGGTGGGGTTTTGTGCAGAACTGACCTCTTTCATTAGTCGCTGATACCCCAGGGCCCGCATAAGCCCATCAGCAGAAACCCTAAAGTTCCGAATAGGTAAATATCTTTAATATCCTCCAAAGATCGAGCAGCCAGGCACACGACGCGCCCCTTCTCCCACCCGTCCATCTTGTATCCAGCTGCAGACGTCCCCGCAGGACAAGTGGACTCTCCCGAGCCCAAACTTCTCATTGAGATGATGGTGTCAATTGCATTCAGAGCATTCGATCAAATCCATAATTCCTTATTCGTTTGGATAGCTGGGCATGGAGAGCCTCAGAGATAGAATAAGATAAAGTCAAGAGGAGCCAGCAAGGAGAGATATGGGACGGAGCGGGAGGAAATGCGTCCACCTTCGCCAAGAGCCAAAGAGAGAATTGGGCCTGTAGGTGAACTAAATTGGCCATACTGTATGAGTGTATGACCTCTCTTCTGTATGGGTGTTTCCTAGCACTGGGTTGCAGCTGGAAGGCCATCGCCTGCATAAAACATATGCCGAAATAGTTGGCAGTTCATTCCACTGTGGCAACCCCTGATAAATAAGGTACTAAGCCGAAAACGAAAATGAATGATGATAAAATTTAAAACCAAAGCTTTGCAAATGAAAAATAAATTATTGAGCAAATAATAATAAATGCAAATCTATTTGGCAAATATTTTAGTTAAGCAGTTTCTCTACTGCTTCATTTTTATTTGCAGTTCTTCTTGTTTGCGAGATAAAATTTTCCCCAAAACTGAATTTTCCCTTTATGATTTTTTGCTCAATAAATTATTGTTTTGTTTGCAAAACTTTGTTTTTATGTTGCAAGTGTATAAGGCCCTGAATTGACTCCATAATTGCCTAACAGCAGCAGCAGATTGCAAGTGGTGCTCGCTGCAGAGCCATTTGAGGAGAGCTGAGCTCCAGAGAGGGGGAGCTTAAGCTTGAGCTCCACCTTTTTTGCACTTCTTCTACGAGTGATGTCACTGGGGGTAGGGTTAGGGGTTGGGTTGGTGTACACATTAAAACAGCTTACAGGAGGAGGAGCGACAGCTCATGCTCCCCCTCGCTGGAGCTCAGCTCTCCTCAAATGGCTCTGCAGCGAGCACCCTCTCGCAGATTGTTTAAATTGAATCTCAGATCTTGAAAATAACGTAAATAGCCGGCGGTTTGAAAATGAAAGTCAGAAAGGCAGAAGTGTTGGAATTTGGATGCGGGGGAACACAGGATAGTCTGGATCTTGGTGTGTTAAATCCTTTTGTAAAAGCAAATGTTTCTGTCATGTGGCATCACATTTGGTGCAGACAGCCAAATTGCTTGTCGCTGGAATCTTGCGTGTTGTTAGGATACGGTGATAAGCAAACACTCAAACAAACAAAATCAACGGAAACTCCAAATTTAAAGCAAGTGTATGAAATCATGTTTATTTGTAACTCATTTATGTACAGCAACAGTTGCGAACTATGAGACGGGCGGAGTCAAATGTGGGCAGATGAGGGCGGGGTCACAGAGTCTCGCCATCCAATGAGCCAATCAGCAGCGTTTTTCACGCCTGAGGCCCTGTGGAGGGACAGAAGGGACAGACTTCGGACTCAAACTCTGTCTAGTGATGGGCGAATCATGGAGGCTGTTGAATCTTCAGCCCTGCCTGCCGCTGGGACCCCCATGCTTGCGTCGACAGGAGCCCAGGAGAGTCTCCAGAGCCAGCTTTACGAAGGCCTGGAAATTACTGCTTCTCTCCCTTCGGCTGTCCTGCGAGGGGAAGACACATAGACAGATATCATGACTGGAAATATAGCTACAGGGAGTGTATATAACTGTCCCTCAGAGATAGGCAGTAGTATGCAATCTCGTTTCTCATTTGTGTCAAGACGTTGTATTTTGTTTTCTCACTCTGAATTTTGAGACTCCATTGAAATAAATCTGTTGCACTTTTATTTCATTTATTTTATTCAACGTTACTTCATTTTAATAATATTATTTTTTATCTATTATTACCTTATATATATATATATATATATATATATATATATATATATATATACATTATATAATTTTATATTTTATTTATTTTTATTTATTTATTTATTTTATTGTTTATTTGTCATCATTATTTCTTATAATTTGCATTTAATTTTTCATTCATTTATTTTTTTGTCGGCTTAGTCCCTTTATCAATCCAGGTTCGCCACAGCAGAATGAACCGCCAACTTATCCAGCACGTTTTACGCAGCGGATGCCCTTCTAGCCGCAACCCATCTCTGGGAAACATCCACACACACACACACACACACTCATACACTATGGACAGTTTAGCCAACCCAATTCACCTGTACCGCATTTCTTTGGACTGTGGGGGAAACCGGAGCACCCAGAGGAAACCCACGCGAACGCAGGGAGAACATGCAAACTCCACACATAAACGCCATTTGAGCCGAGTTTTGAACCAGCGACCCAGCAACCTTTTTGCTGTGAGGCGACAGCACTACCTACTGCGCCACTGCGTCGTCCTGCATTTAATTTAATTTAATTTAATTTTAATAACTGAAGTGACCATGAAATCAAAACTGACAATTCTTTTTTCTGTTTAATCAGTAGGGGAATACAATCACGAACAGAAGAGTTTGGGGGTGGGTGGGGGATTTATGTGCTGAAAAACAGTTGGTGGACTGGTTGACGGTTGCAAACGTCCAGGGGGGACTTTAAAGAGAAAAAAAGGGTATGTGCACAGGTTGTACCCTATCTGTGCACATGCCTGCTGCAGATGGTCTGTTTAACTGTTTTCTCGCTTGTGAAGCATTCCGTTTTTCCACTTACAAAGTCCGGCATGTAAATTGCAAATGTGCCATGGCGTGATGCAACTGACTCTTAAGGGTAATAGGAGATGAGACTCTGATTGGTTTAGTGCACGTTATGCTCAAAGCACACCCATAACTCATTAAAAGAATAATGTGCAGACCGTATTTTTCCGTCCTCAAAATAGCGAATTCGGACACGCCCTTAATGCTTTTGCACCCTCCGCTTTAGACTTTGCACCTAGATCATTAAAACACAGTCCTTTGTATACATTTGTATATAATGTTTAACTACTTAAGTATCAATTTTTTTGTAATGCTAAATGGCATTGTTTGACTGAAATGAATGAATTAATGAAGAGTTTATTTTTATATGGAGATTTTAAGTAACAAAATCACTTACAGAGTACTTATTGAGTAATTAAGAACTTTATAGTGAACAGAAAAAGTAAATATAGTAATAGTTCTTATAGTAAATGTTCAAGAAAAAAGTTTTAAGAACTTAATTTTTGCTAAATAAAGGTTATTCTTCAATTTAAGTGTGAAACCCCTTTATTTATAGCAGCAAGTTGCTGTCAGGTATTATTTGAAGCAGTGTTTTGACATTATGGTTGTATTTCATGCATTTATTTACAGATGAAGTCAGAATTATTAGCTCTGTTGAATTATAAGCCCCCCCGTTTATCTTTTTCCGCAATTTCTGTTTAACGGAAGAAGATTTTCAACACATTTCTAAACATAATAGTTTTAATAACTCGTTTAAAAGGGCTTATGATTTTGACCTTAAAATGGTTTTTAAAAAATTTAAACTGTTTTTATTCTAGCCAAAATAAAACAAATAAGACGTTATCCAGAAGAAAAAATATTATCAGACCTACTGTGAAAATTTTCTTGCTCTGTTAAACACCATTTGGGAAATATTTAAAAAAGGGGGGCTAATAATTCAACTGTACATCTGAACTGCCTGCAGTGCTGTTTTCAGTATTTACCTCCTTGCTTTTTACTGTCATCTCCTTTCTGATCACCTTTCTTCGGCTGCTCCTTAGGACTCTGAGGTTGCTGGAGGGGGACGCAAAAAATCGAAAGTCAATCTCAAAGAAAAGTGTTTAAAAAATTGAAGTGATACTGACAATCGCTGCACTGTGAGCAGGCATTGTGAATCACGCAAGTGTAACTTTTCTTTAGTTTTACCTTGGTGGAGGATTTCTTGTCCGCCTTGTTACCTGTTAAATCAACATGCAGGACATTAATTTATGCACATCTACTTTAATAGTTTCTTCCTTTTTTTGACTGATAATTTTGGATATCACACTGCAAAAAATGCTTTTCTCTGAGTTTTTAGAGGTTTTTGGTGTTGAAAATTCAAATGTACAATTTAACAGAGGGACTTTTACTGACATTTTAATAGTTTAAAATGATATAATGTATAAGAAATAATATATAAGTCTGTGAATGTACTGGCAGTTTTTGTAGTGTAATATAAAGCATCATCCCAGACTATATTTCTCTTTAAACTATTAAATTTTTTTTTAATAAAACTCACCTTTTTTCAACTTTTTAAGGTTAAAAGTTATTAGAAGAAAGATTAAGTTCTCAAACTTTTTTTGGGGGGGTGGGGTGGGGGGGTGTTGCAGCAAAAGCATAGATATAAAAAATTCACGGGTATTTATTTACAGTGCACATTTCAATCAATAATCTGCATATTTAAATTCTGTGGTATCAATATCTACCTTTTGTTCCAGGCATGTTGGCTGCGCTCCAAGGTTTTTTGCGTCCTCTTAGAATAAGCAGTGCCGAGCGGCTGGTGCGGGCCTCATTTATGGCCCCGTCCACTGAATGGCTCCGTTTGCAGGGCCCCTTCGGGAAAGAGCTTCAGGAACAAGCAAAGAGCCCCGTCAGCTGAGCCTCACCACTGTCCATGCACCAGCCTCTGCTGAGCTCAGGTGAAATCATGGCCGTGCATGCATCTTTTGTACAGTTAATCCTTTATTTTTGCTGAAACCAGATTGATGGTTCACTCCTGCATCCTTTCTTTCAGTGCTGATGTATTTACTCATTTTTTATTTGGATTTGTTTTTTGATATTCAGGGCAAAGATGCAGCTCAACAGATGCAAAAAAATAAGTGGTGCAGTTTTACCAAAACAAAGTTTTATCTCGTTAATTATGATGAAAGGGTTGGCAATATTATACAGTCAAATATTTTGACAGGAATATGCATATATATTTAGACTTTTCTAACCTATAGAACGATAAAATCAAAATAAAAATTACTTATAACTAATTAACATTTTTTTCATTAAATAATATTTTTAAATAAAATAAACTTTTCTATAAAACAGTTTCACTATAAACATTTTTAAATGAAAAATATTGGATAATTTCATGTAGCTATAATAAATCTGCTATCTTCTGATTAAAATATATATTTATAATATTTCTTCTAAAATAATTATAATTAATAATAATCATTTTATTATTATTATTATTATTATATTATTTTTTATTATATTATTATTATTATTATTATTATTATTATTATTATTATTATTATTATTAAATGCAATGCAATTAATGCAATTAATTTCATCCAAAATAAAAGTTTGTTTTGACATAATATACATTCAGTTGAAGTCAGAATTATTAGCATCCTTTAAATTTTTTTTCTTTTTTAAATATTTTCCAAATGATGTTTAACAGAGCAAGGAAATGTTCACAGTATGTCTGATAATATTTTTTCTTCTGGAGAAAGTCTTATTTGTTTTATTTCGGCTAGAATAAAAGCAGTTTTTAATTAATTAGCAGTTATTTTAAACACCATTTTAAGGAGAAAATTATTAGCACAGTACTTGTTACCTGTTAAATCAACATTCAGGACATTAATTTATGCACATCTACTTCAGAAGTTTTGATCATTTTAAATAGTTTTTGATTTGGATTTTGAATATCACACTCCTTTTCTTAGAGTTTTTAGAGTTTTTTTGTTGTTGAAAATTCTAATTTACAATTTAACAGAGTGACTTTTACTGATATTTTAATAGTTTTAAGCTATATATATTTTTTCCGATAGTCTACAGAACAAACCATCGTTATACAATAACTCGCCTAATTACCCTAACCTGCCTAGTTAACCTAGTAAAGCCTTTAAATGTCACTTTAAGCTGTATAGAAGTGTCTTGCAAAATATCTTTTTTGTCTTTCATGACAAAGAGAAAATAAATCAGTTATTAGAGATGAGTTATTAAAACTATGATGATTAAAAATGTGTTGAAAATATCTTTTTTCCGTTAAACAGAAATTTGGGAAAAATAAACAGGGCGGAATGAACTGCCAATTTATTCAGCACATGTTTTACGCAGCGGATGCTCTTCCGGCTGCAACCCAACATTGGGAAACACCCACACACTCTTGCGTTCCCACATATACTGTTAGAGCCATATCTATTATGCAAGTTGTAAAATATTATGTATAGTTATTGTTATTTGTTTATTGCATTTATATTGTCTACAATCAAAATAATGTTTAAATTATTACTGCATGCTTTAATTATGCCTTTGCTTATTGATGACTGATCACGTCATATCCTTGTTGTAAAGAGAGGAAGAGACGGAGTGATACAGTTTTTGACCGTCGTTCCATATTGTATCGTTATATAAAGAAAAGGATTGTTCCTGCTTTGAAGAACAAATAAACACAAGAAAAGAATATAACGACTTGGATGAGTTCGTCGCGTCAGACTGGTTACTTTAAAAGATCATATTTCCAGCTTGGATAATGGAGTGCCATTATATCTAGTCAAAAACTTTGCTCCTAAGAAACGAATGCTTAAGAGATCTTACGGAAAGTATTATTATTTTTTTTGCTAACGATGTCTGATTGAGGATCGTGAACTTCAAAGGATTAAATGATCGCATGGATGCACGTTAATTATTGCACGACGCACACGGAGCATATGAGACATTGAAAAGTTCTGGCATGTGATTCTGTCAGTTGGAACATATTATCCAGGTAGGCCTACTGATTGAAAATTCTCTGGATACATGTTACATGTCGTGGGAAAGACTTTATGTCTGTTTTCTATTGTTATGGGCTTAAGTTAATGCTCGATGAATCAGCAAAATGGAAGATGATGATGCGTCACATTGCAGTGCCGATTCTCGCCACAGGGTGGCGCCAACCGCTTTACAATGGGAGGAAAACCCTGATGCCAGGCCAAAAAGAATAATTCAGCTAACACAGAAGGCGGTTGATCTGAAGCTGCAAAATCTCATAAAGGAAAGAAGATCCAAACTTGGCCAAATTACCAAGTTAATGAATGAAATAGACAGTTTGAAAGATGATGACAAGAATTTGAATGAGGTTGAGGAAAAACTTCAGAAAAACTTTTCAGAGTTAAATAAAGAATTTAATAGCCTCAATACAGAATTGGGAGAGCTCCTGTCTGAGGAGGAAAGGAAAATTGATCATGATAATTGGTTTTGTCAGAAATCTGAATACATTAAAGAGTTTGTGCAACAGACACAAAAATGGATCCTTTCAACCAAAGATGGGATAGAAGCTTTTAACATTGGACCTGAAGACAGCGTTTCAATTGTTTCATCAAAAAGACACAAGAAGAATTATGGATCCCTTGTTGGACGAAAGTCAAATGCATCCAGCCACAGTTCAAGTTCTGTCGCTCACCTTAAACAGGAAGCTGAACATGCAGCATTATTAGCACGTGCTGCAGCTTTAAAAAAGAAACAATTCATTGAACAAGAAGTGGCAAAATTGAAAGCAGAACAAGAGCAGCTGGAGATGGATACTGAAATCGCTGCTTCTTTTGCTAAGCTCAAAGTATTACAAGACTTTGATATTGAAAATAAAAGTGAATGTCAATCGAAAAGTACAGAGATTCATCATAAAAATGAACAAAAAGATTCTTCCCTTGTGGAGGAACGCCAGAGTAAGAGAGACATTACATCACAGCCTTCTCAGCGAACCCACAGTACTAAAAACAAAAAAGAACCTGACAAAGACAGAAGTTCTGGGGAATTGGAAGGTAATTTATACAGAGTGATGCAACGACAGAATGACATTACAGAAATGTTTGTTAAACAGCAAAATTTGTCACATCTGCCCCAAAGAGACATTCCAATATTCACAGGAAACTTGATGGAATACAGAACTTTTGTCAGGGCATTTGAACATGCTATTGATGTCAAAACAGAGAATGCCAGAGACAAATTGTATTATTTGGAGCAGTACACTGGTGGAGAGGCCAAAGATCTTGTACGTAGCTGTGTTCATATGGAGCCTAATAAAGGCTACAAGAAAGCATGGGATCTGTTGCACAAGGAGTTTGGTGACGAGCTGAAAATAGCTAGTGCCTATATAGATAAGGTGCTGAATTGGTCTCACATAAAAACAGAGGATGGAAAGGCACTGAAAACATTTGCACTTTTTCTTATTGGATGTCGAAATGTCATGGAAGATCTTGAATACATGGACGAAATGGATAATCCCACAAATATCAGGGTTATTATTTCAAAGCTTCCCTTCAAAATGAAAGAGAAATGGAGAGGTAAAGCTTTTGAAATTCAAGAAATACGTGGAAGGAGAGCAAGATTTGCAGACCTTGTGGACTTTATAGACAGAGAAGCTAAGGTAGTTACGGACCCATTGTATGGAGAAATTCAAAGCTCATCTGTTGAAGGAAAGGGAAAGAGCACATCTTTCGATATCAAAATTAAGAATAGAATTCCACCAAAGGGTAGCAGCTTTGCAACAGCCATTAATCCTCTTGGAAAGGAAACAACCAACTCTCCTGTAAAAAGAACCCCAGTTGCAACTGCCAGTGCATTTGAGAAACCATGTTTGTTTTGTCAGAAGAACCACCCACTTGAATCCTGTGCGAAGTTTGTAGAATGCTCTTCCAAAGAAAGAATTGACTTTTTAAAGGCAAAAGGCTTATGCTTTGGCTGTCTGACTTTGGGTCATCTTAGCAAAGACTGTAGAAAAAGGATGATATGCCAACAATGTTCACAGAGACACCCAAGTATACTCCACATTGATAAAAAGAATGACGAAGTACACAAGCAAAGAAAAGAAGGTAGCACGGAGGAAAAGTGCATTTCCGCTCCTCTGTTCTCACTCGAAAAGGAATCATGTGGTTGTACTGGGGCCGGAGAGGGTGAGTCTATTCTTGCAATCGTAGCAGTAAAAGTCAAATCCAAAAAAAGTGAGAAAATTCTAGAAACTTATGCTTTTATGGATCCAGGTAGCTCAGCTACATTTTGCACTGACACGTTGATGAAGCAGTTAAATGTTAGAGGAAGAAAAACAAAAATACTGCTCCGAACGATGGGACAAGAGAAGCTTGTTGATAGCTACATTGTTTCTGATTTGGAAGTCTGTGGATTAGAAGAAAAGAAGTTTATAGATCTTCCTAGAGTTTATACACAGAAAAGTATTCCAGTGAAGAAAGAAAACATTCCATCGCAAGAGCTCATAGAGAAATGGCCTTATCTGAGTAAAGTGAGCCTTCCTACTATTAATGCAGACATTGGTTTGTTGATAGGAACCAACATTCCTAAGGCACTGGAACCTTGGGAAGTCATTAATAGTAAAGGAAATGGTCCATATGCATTAAAAACAGCAGTGGGTTGGATAGTAAATGGACTCAGCCAAGAAACAGATCACTGTTGTAGTAGTAAGGAAGGAACATCGGCCATGGCGGTCAATAGAATTTCAGTTGAGAGTATCGAGCAACTGTTGGTGCAACAGTATAATACAGAATTTTCTGAACGCTGCAG